TGTTGACTTTGAAACAATGGTAATCAGAAAGTCCCTTGGTTAAGCAGTGCAAGAGAAAAAAAAAGATTTTAAATGGACAAAGTAAAGGACACAATTCGTCTTTTGTCGTTTGAAAAATAAATAATCGACTGACCTACTAATTTTTCCAAACGTTCATTACGTATTTTACGTTAAATATGAGGGGCAGTAAAATTCTTTAAATTGTGAAATGAGGGGTACCACAACAAATATTCAGAAAACTGCATTACAGTATTTGAAATGAACATACTTATTAAATTGAGTTTATAGTGAACAGTTGTGAATGCATTAGAGGTGCAAAGAAATTAGCTATAGAAACAATGGATGTCTTGACTAAAGATATGTATTTGTTGGTTTTAATGTCTGACTTGAGTAAGATATATGTTCAAACACAATTAAATTATAAGTCTCGAACTGGAATAAGACAAGATCACTGAAAATGTTATAACGAGGAGAGACTATTAAAACAGAAAATTTTATTGGATTACATGATGATTACATAGACTGGGATGAGGTGTTGAACGAAGTTAGAAGATGGTAGAAGGTTGAGATGGAAACGCTATGGGTGTGGAGGAAGTGTTAATCGAAACTAGCCTTGGTTAAGATGAAAAAAAGTTTGTCACTTCAATGTATCGGAGCAATAAAACAAAATCATAAGGAGTACCATTACGGAAAGCAGTATTATCCTTTAACAAATTTCTCAACCGATTTTTTTTAAAAATTGATGTCATCATCGGTTTCAATTAATCGGATTGTGTAAATTAAAAAAACACGAATTAAAACAAGTTTTATTATATTAGACACTATTAAAATTGTTATTTCATGAGTATCATGAGTATGATAATAAATAAATGTAAGAGTATGTCAACCCATACTTCTAGATTAAGAATAGGATATTGTCCAAAGATGACGCAAGAACAATCTTAATAGGTGTCAAAATAACAAATTTTCTTTTTTTTGTTTTTATTCAGGTGGTCCGATTAATGTATGAACTCTGTATGTACAAATACATACGAGGAATGCCTTTTAAGTTTTGAGAAGTCAGCCCATAATATTGAAAGTAAGGTGGTTAATTAGTTTTCGATTATATTTTTCGATTCGATTGACTCAACGGACTGTTTGGGCGTGGAAAAACGCTCGTCACGCATTTTTTTCTTAATGTTTGGGAACAAGAAGAAGTCATTGGGAGCCAAGTCGAGACTGTAAGTCGGATAACCCATCAATTCGACATTTTTATTGGTCACAAACTCATTTGTTTGTACTCATGTGTGCAAGCTCGCATTGTCGTGGTGAAGGATGGTTGTTATTCCTCAAATTTCCAAAGGCTCACTATGCAAACCCTGAACAGTGGATTGATGTTTTCTTTTGGGCTTATAGGCTTAGATCCAGCATTTCGTTGAACAAATCAGTATGTGCATTTTTATATTATGGGAAATCTAACTGGTACAAATATTTTTACTAGTTCTACTAATGCTCAAATACGCCTCTATCTCTCGGTATGTAACATCGAAAATCATAAAAATTCATCGCACGAAAATGTTCATTATATAATTCCATTTTTTCGCAGAGACACAATTTAGAATGGATGTAAACAACACAATAAACGCGCGTAAATTGAAAGGTTGTAATGATATTAATTCAAAAAAATGTCAAACTTTCTAACAGATTTATCAACATTCATCGAGCAATACTGAGTGTTGCCTACGCCCAAGACTTAAAAGGCTACGTAAAAAGATAGTATCTATAGTTTTGTTGGCCTTTCTGGAATAGATGATGAATTGTTTAAATAAAAATTACAATAGTTACCTATTTTGTTAGTTTGCTTTATTGAAAAGGACACAGTAGAATATGAATTTATCATGCCTGTGATCAAATTTTAAATAAAGAAATTTTCTTAATACACTTCAAATTTGTTTAATAAGCCCTTGAACTGGATTTATTTCTTGAAAATAACAATTTAGGAAATTTAGAAATTGATAGTCTTGTCTACTCGCTCCATCACCTTAGCTGCAGTTAGTAAGTATGCGCAAATATTTATCTATACGCGTTGTACACAATGTGTGCAACGGGTGCGTCTTCAGCTGCCATTCCTGTTAAATATCAAATATCAAATAGACATTACTGTCGATTTGGAACTCGTAACGATTATTAAGATAATACTTACCCATACATTGAAATATCGTTATACCTTCTATTGGTGGATATTCCATTTCTTTTATGACTTCCCCCACCTCGGCAACTATTGGACCAGGCAGATTTTTTATTTCTTGCGCGTGTGCTCTTGAATCCGTATAAATAGCTGCTTTTTCATAAACATCTCGACCAATTTGTCCATACATGCCAGCCGCTGTTATGAAATGAATATTACAATTATATTTAGTTTTCAAACGAGTATAAACTTATATGTAAACCTATGAAGGTATAATAATTTGTTATATCCTCACTAACCGTTAATATGAACTGATGGCTTAGTTATCATGTCAGTTGTCAATAAAGGCTCACATGAGTCAGTACACATGCATATGACGTCTGCATCGCTCACAGTAGTTTGGACGGATTGTCCAATTTTTATATCTACGTTCGGTGCATCCGGACAAAGTCTCTTAGCAAGACATTTTGCTTTTTCTATATCTTCGTCCCATAAATATAGAGTGTTAAGGCAGAAGGTATCGAGCATAGCAAGCGCATGGACATGCCCTTCCACTCCAGAACCAATAATGGCCAGATTTATAACACGATTTTCAGATTTACCGAAACGTCTATAATACAAATACCGTGTAGCCACAGCCGAAGCAGCAGCCGTACGCCAAACCGTAAGAGTATTCGCTTCAATGATGCATTCCAAGCAACCGGACCGCACATTGTAGAATAATATGTGTGCCATTACATGCGGCAATGGGCAAGGACAACTTTCATTGATTGGAAAATTTGTGACACACTTACATATTAAAGTGCTAAGTTTAGAATCCTGTTGGTTTGAGCATCTTTTCTTACGGTCTGTTGGCTCTAACTCCCAATCGCCCAAAAATCCGGGCATAGCAAGTAGGTAATTACAACTATTGAAACCTGCCTGTGTGAAGATGCGTGCAGGTTGTATGGCATAGGGATTTTTACTTCCGCAGTTGCTTGCTGGCGGAGCTGGTTCTGGCTTTGAGGAAGCGGCGCGTATTCCTTCTTCTACCGCTTCAATTACTTGCGGCCATTTTAGAACTGCAATAACACGGTTTTCATCTATAAAACGTGGTATGTGAGACATCCTAAAATTTGAAAAGGATCAGTGTCACAAAAACTATAAAAGTATTAAAGAAATACTTGCTGGATTGATTTGCGGCATAGGAAATGGAGCAGAATAGACGAATTCCAATCTATTAGACTTCTGAGGAAATTATTGTTTAATTTTTACAACTTAATTCAAATTAAAAATTTTTAAGTTTTATTAATTTTTCTATGACGATTCAGTTTTGTTAAGAATGTAAGAGTAAAAGTATAGCATTCGATGATAAGATAATAAGTTCCGAATTTTTTAATGCTCGATGGTCAATAATACAATAGAGGATCTTTAAGTATTTATTTTTTACAATGGAAAAGTATTCTCTCTTTCTGTTAATGAGCTGCGTGCAATAACAAATGATGGATCACTTGCTCAGTTACTTGGTACTAAGCATACCAAACTTTTAGATTATACCTTTAATATACCTTTAAGTATATTAATACTCATACCTTTAAGTATTTACATATATTAGTTTTTGTTAAATTATCGGAACTGATTCTTGTAAAACCCATTGATTGCTCTTTGTAAGAGATACACTAAATATTATTCCGGTCCATGTTTTTAATCTACTACAATCACATAAATTTTCTTTTGGTGTATTGGTAGAACTACATTATTTTATTTTTATAGTATCCGAAATAAATGAATTTAAATTGATAAATTAATAAAATTAAATTTAAAATTATAACCGTATTTCTATTTTTGTAGAAAACAGCTATGAACGAATGTATTTCTTTCTGCGAAACTCCAATGTGTACAGTGATTTGTATTGGTCAGCGATCGCATCTGGTCTAGACAATAACTAGTAAAGAAGTGTTCTAAATTTTGTTTTTTTTTAATATTTGGGTTCAAAAGTGTGTTGTGGATTTCATGTTATAGTATTATCAGAAACTATATTTTTCATAATTAACGATTTAAACTTCTAATATGTCGTTTAGTGTAATTTTATACATATATACTTCATATAATTCGAAACAAATTAATGGAACTTGGTTAAAAAGTTTTGAAGTATTCGCTGTAAAGCATGAACCTCGCTTCATCTGACTAACATTCGTTACGGGGCTCTGTAAAAGTCCCTTAGTGGTAAGAAATTGGCCGACCGGAGAGCCAGTGAAAATCAATTGTTCAAGATTTTTGTTGGAATAAGGATGCTATCCGAAAAATTAAAAAAGGCCATAAATAAAAATGACCAAATAAACTTTATTAAAACTAATGACGGCGGATATATATATGAGATATATCACCCCATAGCTCAAAGATTAATCATCAGATTAATCAGTCAGAGTTGGTAATTAATATAAAATAATTAAGTTAAATTTTAAAAATCCTCAAAAAATTCAAAAGAAACAATAAACCACTTCAGCTCTGGAATGGTGACATGTCATGCATACATTGTTTTTTAAAATGACTAATTTTCATTGTATGAAGAATTATAATAAAATTTTCCAAGTTCATTTCATTTAAATTGAAATAGAATTGCTGCGCCTGGGAGCAAAGTGAGATATCATATTAATCCAACAATGGAGTTGGAGTTGCTATTAATTTTTCACTTTCTTTGCCACAAACTATTTTCGCAGTCCACAGTCTATGTCAAGATGACAGAAGATTGCTAAAATGGAGCAGAAAATGCAGTTTTCTTATCGAAGGGCAGATGTGTGCATCTGTGAATATACAAGAGGTTTTGCTCATATTCATATCTCGACTATGTTATGAATTAAATATTTTCCCAAAACCGCACTAACGAACATAACATATGCAAAGGGAAAATGCGTGAAGTGCCGAAGAAGCCGCAATCCACAAAAGCTACTAAGACAATAACTTGAGAATGGAAGTTTCCCACTGATGATGGCATTTCTTTCGATGGCAGTGAAATTTTTTTGATTTGACGAAGAAAAACTGTATTAATTACACGCGATTGTACTTTGGTTTAAATTTGCACTCATCTTCATTTGGGATTTCGGAAAAAAAGTTTGCAAAATTTCTCCATAGCAGAAAATAATTAATA